AAAAACTTATTGAAAAATGTGTTACGTCATATATACTTCGCGGAATGACCCAAAACAGAAAACAGTTCTGAAAGGATGCAAAATAACAGAAACTAATTTATATCGGTTCATTATTTCAACAAAGACGCACTCCACTATCATGTGCAGTAGGCCATATTTTTTTCAGACATGCAGACAAATAACCTGCGCAGCACACCTCTTCACAGGAATCCCAAGTAATGTCGGGGTTGGAAGTAACGAGAAACTATATTTGCCCCCCCCACTTGCAGGGTGTTATGTGTTCTGGATATATTTACCGAATGGAAAGCCGAAGCCACTTGTCTTTATTTGCCGTTTTCCTAAAAAATAGAAAGCTTTACATTTAGAAACTCAGATGGTGGAATCCGCAATACTTGCGAAAATTTTTATTGAAAACGCTCCGAATTCCATATCATGGGGAGAATTATCGTTTCATAGTTTCAACAACATATAGCGGAATCGACAAAATATAAAGCGGAATCGACAAATTATCAATAATTAACAATGCAACAATTCGCCGCAGTCTTAAAGGAAACATCCAAATGAGAACAATGCAGACAAACTATAAATTGTTGTCAAATTACGATATCATATCGTAATTTGACATTACGGACACCCTCCGGGAACCCAATGTTAGAACCCGTAAAAGCAAACATCAGTATAAAAACAGAACTTCGCCGGGGGATGTGTTTRCTGTCCCAAATATCAGGGTGTCCGTAAGGAGAGATGCGGTATATCGTGGAACATGATATAACGGAGCGCTACGTCTAATGAATATTTTTCTATATATTTCACCTGCTGATTCCCATCCATTCTTTAATTCATTTGGATCTTGAAACAATCCGTTCTTCATGTTTTCTGGGAATATGCAAGGGCGTTAGAATCAGATTGATATTACGATCAAGAAGCCTTGAGACTGAGTCTTTCACTTACCGCGATTATATATAGGCATAGGCTGTTGTGGTGGCATGTCTACAATAAAGTAACATGGGATTTATTATTGAAGAGTGCACCCCTTTATTAAACTGCAAACATCAAAAATTGGCTAATTGCAAGTGGAAATTATGCTCGCTTCTGCTACTTCAGCGAGTTTTCCGCATCATCATAAGAACTTAAAATAAGGGCGCGCCCTAGACATAAATTGTCCCGTGGAGAGCCCACTAAATTCATAATTCCGGAATACCAAAGAAAATATTATGTATTGTTGCCTAAAAGTCCTACTCCATAGATTGTGTTTAAAACATACAATTGTATCGGCTTTCCGTATTTCTAGAGGGATATTTTGTAATTATCAACATTGGAATACGGAATATATTCATTTACCTGCTTTGTTGAAAGCATCCATCGTCTTCTTACTCCTGCTTGGATAGCAACGCACTTCCATAATCACCATGGATGAAATGATCAAAACAGCAAGGACAAAAACGGGGGCAGCCATTCTGAACTTTGGTTGAAGTTTCTGAAGATGCTCGTTTAAAACTCGCCAACTGGTTGTTCAGTTGGAATACCATAACTCGGCCATCCAATTTATAGCGAATATTTCAAATTGTTTCGAAACATTCTGAAGCCTTTCTCAAAAGACTCCAGTCAGAAACGAGCCAAATGTTTGGTAGTTGCGATAAAACCCAAACAAAGGTTTAGATAGTATCACGACGCATTACGAAAGTCACCACACCATTGTAACATTGAAACATTGGAAAATGAAAAGTCGCTGAGTTTAGTCTTGGTGCAATGCAAACCACAGGCAATCCAAGCAGAGCATTTGATTCAAAATTGTTTTTTTTTTAAATAAAATACATTTTACCTTAAACTCATGTGTTGCTGATGTTATTACTGTGTATAGTTTTGAAGGGATTTAGAGCTATTAAAAAAAAACGCCATCAGTCATTAAAGACTACAAGGCTGGTTACAGAGCGTCCACACCACACGTCTTTGAAGGCCGAAAAAGATGTCTTAAATCCATCTTTTGCCTCCAAAATCCCCTCAGCGMCATYTCTCTAGGATCCTTCTATCCAGAATTGGGCAATATTTCAACGGACTTCAAATCCAACCGTGCCAAATCGTCATTGGATCCAGAAGATATAGCAACTCCTCGTTTTTCTTGCTCTATTGTAGCTCTCCGTTCGAAGGAGAGCACTTTCAGTGCCAACTGATAATTATTGAAATGGATCCTGAAATGGACCTTGAGCGTCCCTACCTCAGCATAATGTCGAACATGTTTCATTTATATTGCTAGATTTCAAATTTTCGAATATGTAGAGATATTTGTTAATGCTGACCTGTGCATACTTTCAAAATGACCTCACGATTAGGACCTGCAGGAATATGAATGCAAAGAGCTTGACTTTTTGTCATTTCCCATTTTTAGCGTGTCACACCGTCGTAAAAATGATCTACCCGAGGTTTTCCGACGATTAAAACACTACTCTCTGATCCTTTTGTAAAGGTATTAGAATTTATTAAATTAAAATATTGCAATTTTAACACTGAGATCTGCATGGTTTGTTCAAGATTCCTTAAATGGTCACCTCAAGGTGAGTTGCACGCATTATTTCTTCGTCTTTCTTATTTGCCTTTCGTAGTTGACTTGATAAGGGCATTAGCTAGTGAATTGATAAACACCTTCTCTGTTGAATCAAGAAAAAAAAACAATACTGGGAAAACTGATAAAAGACTAGATAAGCTTTTGTGTATACACCTGATTGCAAAAAATATTGTACAAAGATAAATACTAAAGAAATGAACGATATCAAATTCATTTCTGTCGTATTTATCTTTTTACGACATTTTTTGCAATCAAGAAACACCGGTTCCAGGTCCGACCTCAACATGTCAAAACAGAGCTTCCCACATCCCTCAAGTACTTYATCTGGCCTTCGTTGGTCGTTAACCCACCACCCCAACCAAAATAACCAAAAATATGAGCTCCTCAGTCTCTGAGTACTTACTGAATGTCTTACTGTTGAAGTCTTCTTGTGGAAGTTGTGGAACTAGGTGAAAGAAGATTTGTTTAGAATTGTCATCAAGCTCTATACTTCCAATTTGTTTGTTTGTTGTTGTCTTTTCAACTAAATTAGTGGCTTTTTTTTCTTTCGCGTTGCATGGTAGTWATCCATACCCTTTAATAACGTTTAGCTTTGTCATTACTGGTCCGGCATACATGGCATATCGTACTTTGGACTTATAGGAAAGAGACAGACAAGTTTGTTTTGTTCAAACGACAAGGCTGCAAACGACTGAAGAAATATATATTCTAATAGTGTTTACCGTCATTAGTATCGAATCCATCGAAATCTGGAAGAAACGCCCCTTCGTAGATATCTGAAATTACAATAATACTTTAAAATATTAATCGTAGAGGGTATGTTTTGCTAATTTTTATCAAACTTAAAAGTCTTCGCCTACCGTAAGGAAATGAAACTGTATTGTAGTGTTCAACTTACCTGCTTTATTGTAAGCATCCATTGATGTCTTTCTTACACTTGGAAAGCAGCTCGATTCCGTAATCAACATCGATAAAATGATCAAAGCAGCAAAGACACGAACGGTGACCGRCATTCTCAACTTAACTGTATTGCCTCAAGATGCTGTTCTCTCGCTCGACTTGGCTGTGCAGCTAACATAACATAGTTAGACGTCCAATTTATAAGAAATCTGATTAGGTTCGAAACGATAGCCATACAACGCATGATGAAAACCACTTTAGAAGCGTCCCGGAAATTTTCTCTGCATTAAATATGGTTTGATACCATCCGACTTAGTGAAAGTCAACGGAAAAATATTGTTCTTGTCAATTATGATTTTGATACAAGAAGAAAACAGCCATGTYGGTTAAGCTCGCAAATTACATATAAGAGTGTGCTCAATTGGTAAATTTACCAGAGAGAGTATGAATCTGAAAAAAAAATTGCAACTACACCGAGGCCGCTTAAAATTACTAATCTTGAAGACGAAACGCTTGCATAAGGACCATAAGCACTATGAAAAAGGATTGTTTATTTTCTTAATATCAGTTTCGACTTCGGTTGTTTGCGCGTGTCGACACGATGGAAAGCCAACCCAATCACTATCTTTTTCCCTGAACACAACTCTCTTCCTAAACCTTAAATAGATAAACTTTTCAAATGAAAATAATCTTGAGCGAAAAGTAATTGTAGGTTTCTTTTAGCACAAGTTTTCAAATTTCCTTCCGTTATAGTTTCGACATCGCTCTGCTGATCAACGACAATAGTGAATATATGAGGTCTTCCTTCCGATTCTACTTTGTCCATCCGAAACCTGTTTGGTCGGCTGTTTCATACCCTACGTTTTTGCGGATAATCATATAATCAAATATTCGGGAAAGGTATGTCGGCAAGCAATATTGATTCTAAAGTTACAAACTGGATAAAGTCGGCTGTGTTTGAATATAAACACAGTAAGGCCTATAATGGGTGCTTATTGAATAAATAAAACTGCAAGCAAAGTAGTTACGATTCATCGCCAGCCACATCTCAACAAGAAAATAAATCATATATTTCGAAAGTCGATCAGTGACGAATTGTTCTGGCTTTTACCCAGAAAGCGACTAGAATGGCACAATAAGTGCGCTTTCCATTTGTCAGAACTGGCTGGCCAGACCCAGAGAAAATGTCATTTTTAGTTAGGAAATTCAAATTTTCAAATAATTCTATCCATTATTCTTAGGAAATTCAAATTTTCAATAATTCTATCCATTATTATACAGAAATGACTAAAAAATGTTGACAAAAAGCATGATATACCTCTAAATAGAGTGGACTGGCCGGCCAGTTCTGCCTAAATGGAAAGCACACTAAATTTAAATCAATCGAACTGTAAAAMAATTTTATTATGAAAATTTCATCGTTTAATCAGTTTGTAGAGTTGAGAAGCCTCGTCCCAGGTTACTCTCGTTTCTCCTGCTTGATTACGGAACAGCACAACCGCGACGGACGCACATTTTGAAAGYAGAATTGAATCAATTGCTCAACACAATACAAAATTAAGCAAGTTTTATTCTAAATCAAGTTATCAACTAAAATATTAAAATGACAAGTGGCATGTAAAAATACAATTTTGGAAATTGAATAAGTTGGCTAGCATTTATATAATTACTGGTATAAAAACTTCTACAACAARGCCATTCACTGCTCTCAACTAAATATTACACAACCATATATYGTCTTCACATCGAGCGCAATCAACGATCTCAAAAAAAACGCTGCTACGCAATGCTTTGCGTTGTTTACGTATGACGCGCGTCCCAGACGCAATACGTACGTTTACGCTATAAGTGACCATCTGAGACAAATGGTTTGCTGTGTTACACTGTGAGATCCTTTTTGTGGAAATCAAATGGCATTGTGTCYAATACTGATTAACGACATTACATTCGGAACAAGGGCGGATTCGGAGGGGTTTCCATTGATCCGCCAAACATCCCCTAACACCACATTTAGAACAAGCAGACTGATTCCGCTTAATTGTTATGACTGGATGCAATAACTCCTACTGGCCAATACTCCWGTTTCGAATTCTTTTTTTGGGCAAGCTTAGCTTCAATCAAGTATGSATTTTCATTGTCTTCTTTGTACACAGAGTGTTTGCATTACAATAGGATTTCTGCCAAATAAGAGAGAATATCCATYCATGCTTTCGAAGGCTGCACGAATAAGATCTCAAAACTCGATTATTGTCTCTCAGGGGTGCCAGCCGGTTATAACCTGAATCGTTTTTAAAACAACAGTAGATAAATTTACCCATTTGGGACACCCCCTGGTTTTTGGATCAGTCCCTGTCAAAATTAAGAGCGGAAATTTCYCCTTCGTGAAATCAAACAACACTACTGCTCACCACTATTCAAACTGCTAAAGCCCATCTTTGACTTAGGTTTTGATTGACTATACTTTACGATGACAAAGAGGCTGTTTTCTACATAACGGTACTTCCCTTATGACGTCATGGATGTTTCATGGTAAGATGCATTATGGGATTGACGAAAGTACAAACGAAGAACAWGSASTTGTGTTCAAGAAGGCTATTGTCGTAATTTTTTGCGGTCACGAATGACTTATTCCACAGAAAGATCTTTGAGCATATTCTAGTGCCGTGCAGGCTCCTTTTTCAATAGTTTCTAAGCAAATTCTCGACTGCAAATGAGTCATTATGTCAATTTAGTCTTCGAGAAAATTTCGTCCTGCGTTCTTTTCATCAATACCATGATGCACTTCGCCAAAATAAACAAGACGTCATTGCTCGAAACTGCTCATTGTTCAAATTCAATAACATCAAATCAAGCATTCTAATAACCCAAAGGCATCTTTACAGTTCTAGTACACTGTGAAAATGTCGATGTTTGAAGCTAATTTAACCCCATTTGTCTAATAAAATATACAGAAAATATACAGAAACATCTCTTTCTAAATACTCCTATTCTCCTTCGCCGTCTTATTTCTTATTCAATAACAAAAAATTAAGACCTTGTTAAATAYAACTGTTTACTGGAAAACCAAATATATTGATCAAGCTTTGCCATACTTTAGGTAAATGTTAAAAAATAACTTAAAAAAGCATTTAAATATCTCATGATAATAACGACGAAATGATAGATCTTTCGTACTATCAATAAACTATACAAAACAAATAAAAAATAAGTAAGATTATAAAATCGACTGTCTTCGTAATGACGCAATTCCTGATTTAATTCGGGCGAGTAATATTTTGTGCAAGTGATGATCTCGTCAGAAATAGGTTTGGCTGATTTGAAATCCTGAACATGCCCTCTATAGAAAAACGGAGGTCAGGAAATAAATTACAACGTGAACCTTAAACGTATATGAGACTTATAAAGCAACGTTATATATAGGGAAGGTATGGGAACAACAGAGACAACAACAAAAAAAAACATAAACAACAAATAATATATATAAAAACATCACAAAATATAAATAGTAAAAGTCCYGTTCCACTATCTATTATTCAAGCCAAAATAACTCTTGATCGTCATCACTTGCAGTTTCATAAAATGTACACACATGCGCACTATATATCTACATAGTACAAAATGAAGAAAACTGGTAATGAGTCATGCAATACGCATGTCAATAATATTTTTATCTTTTAAGAAATGTATGCATGCTTTGTAAATAACTATTTTGATCCTTCCCTAGTTCAAGAGAAGATAAAGAAGGCTTTAGTAAGCTAAAAACTAAAACAACGGTAAGCCTCACTATGTATTTTGTTCATAGTAAAAGCTCGCCAAACTAAAGGGAATGGACTGGCACAAAATTGAAAAAAGTTATTCAGTTTTCACCTAGCCATTTTTGCATTTTTCTTAACATAAAAAAACTAATGTACAGTCTTAAAGACCTGGAAATACCCCCTGAATTTCAGAGCATCAAATCTATCAATTTTTCAGCTTATATTGGGACTTATGAACCTAACCAGCGATCCGAGGATTTTTTACCACCCATTTTGATTCGCGTAAGAAGCGGAGGAGGATGGTCGAGGATGGGTAATCCTCTACTCGAGAGGTACTTGCGAACTATCTATCAATCATAACTGAAACAAAACAGTTACATTAAAACTAAACACCTAGAGAAAATGGTCTAACTAAGATCTAAATTCATCTAAATTATTGCTTGAAATGCCGGTTCTTTACCAGAATCGTTGGTTGGTAACATGTCGTCAATCATGTCATCTAACGAGCATATATGTTGTGCCCGAGGAAAGGAATCCATTGCAAGTTCTTTATGCTTTGGGCTACCTGTGGTTTTGACGTTATTTTCGTCTTGGTTTGTATCATCGCTGTCTTCATTTCTTGACGTTTTCTGGTCATTTCGTAAATTGTCGTTTTCGTCCAGGGCTTTGTTTACATCTGATGAAGTTTCTTCTCGCTAAAAATGGTAATTGATGAATTAATCCATAAATGCTGAATCGTTTCGCTTGCAATTGRGACAATTTAACTGGTCATTGAATGGTATTTTGGTTTTTCGATTGGGTGGTTGGTTAAATGGTGTGTTCAGTGGGTTGGTTAATTTGCTAATTGCTTGGCTAATTCGCTGTTTGTTAGTGGATTGTTTGGGTTGTTTGTTTGAAGTGTAACCAGCTCCTCATTCAAAGACGCTCGGTCATATGAAGCGCCTAACTAAGAAAAAAGAAAAAAAGTCGAACTACTATAGCCTTGTAGTTGACTGGCTACTTACAATCGTGTTTTGAACAGATCCCATTTCAATTTCTTCATGCATACTTCCACGTGAACCAGTCACCGCCTCGCTACCAGAGCGAGGCTCTGTGGATTCTTCGCTAASAAATTTCGTCTGGGATTCAAAGGAGTCCTTTCTGTTCTTTTGAGGTTCGTTTCTCCTTTCAATGCTACCAATTAAGGCACTCACTAGGGAGAATTTCCTTGGTGATTCTGGACAGTTTGGATCATTTCCCCCGTCAGTCGTATCATTAGGAAACTCTTTCTCGATGTCAAAGAACTTTGATCTCTCCTCAGGCTCTTTCTGCATGTATTCAGAGGCTGAAAATGACGCTGACGACTGTTGAGGCGGGGTTTGGGGCGTGGTTTGTTCTGTGAAGATTTTCTCTCTCAGGGTGGGTCGAACTGAAGACTGCTCAACATTCAAGCTTTTTAAACGTTCTAAAATTCCAACATTTCCTAGCTCGTCCAGCTCTTCAGTCACTGGAGTTATGAAATCACTCGAGTCGAATAGCTCTTTGGTAGGACTGGTACCGAACGAAAAGCCGCTGCTTATTGAACGCGGGCTTTTTACTCCTGATAAATCCGATTCACAGTCTAGATAATCGTACTCTGAAGTACTATGCCCGTCTCCTGTTGGTCCAAARGAAGAATCTAATGTTTTTAAAGTATCAGTGGTATTTTCAGTATTATTAAACCCAATGTTAAAGTCATTAGGAATTAAGTATAATTCATCCTTTTCTGAAATTAAGCTAGAAGTTTCCTCTGACGTGAAGCCGCTYTAATTATCAAAAGGAGTAGAAATATCCTCACAGGGGTCGTGTGGGGGTTTATMAGACTTAACAGGTGATCCGTAAGGTGTTCCATTTGAGAGAGCTTCTTGTTTAGTCCGACTGACATGCGTAGTTGTGTTTAGAAGCTGGGTCTTGGCGGGTGACTGTTTTCCAGGAACCTTGATTGGAACTTTGGAAGATTTTGGTCTAGGAATACCGCTCATACCTAGGGTGATTCAAACACAAAGATTACGTCATCACCGCATTGTTGGATGAAGATAAAAAGCATTCCTCATTAGTTTCTCTTGTTCATTCATCCAATATGGCGGCGATAGCTTTGTTCTTTATTTCTCAAGGGATTCTTGATCATGTGCATGGTTGCAACCCAAGATGGACGAACAAAGAAAGTAAACAATATCGATGTAAAATGGCAAAAAGTAACGATCAATTGTAAATGAAAAATCACTATAGCAAAAGCGATGGATAGCGCTATGGAAATGGCTGAATATTTCATCGACAGCATGATATTACCATCATCATGATCTAGTACAACGTAAAACAGTGCATGAAACTGCGACACAATTTTCCAAACTTACCTGATTTTCTTGGTGACGGTGCTTTTCCTGTTCCGTTGCTAAGGAGTTGCTTGGACAAGTCYTCCTTTGAACCAAAGGAGGCACTCCTTGAAACTCTTCTCCTTGAAGGGGGTGTGGTAAGATTGCTTATTGCGCGTCTCATTGGATCCGGYCTGTTGACCAAAGTAGCTTTTGGCGTCGACGACTTTCTTCGGGAAATTCTCGGGCTACTAACGGGACTATTATAAGTCCCTCGAGGAGTACTCGAGGATCTTCGGGTAGTTCTTGGACTGCTTACTGGGCTGCCGGGAGTATAGGGCGGTCGCCTTCTTGGGCTTTCGCAAGAAACACTGTTTGAATGTTTCCGTGAAACCTGTGAAGTCGAAGCCCTTCGGGTARTCGAGGGCGCGTTACGAGGACCTTCCGATCTTGAGCGATCGGCAGCTGCCGAAGAAGGGCGTGCTTTCGACGAAGTTGGTCGTGATTTTCTTGGGCTAGCCGTTGGAATACTAGTTTTGCTAGAGGTAGACACTCTATTAAGGTCTTGCATGCTTTTGCTGCGATGATATATGCCACGCGGTAATGATGATACTTGTGATCGGGTATTTGTCGGCTGTTTWGTCGMCTGTGRCGAGCGAGCGTCYTCTCTACGAGGTGTGACAGCGACACTTTTTCTTCTCTGACCGGGAGTTGCCTGGGAACCCGGTGCAGTGCTTGGCCTTTGTACTGAGGAAGGTCTTCGCCGAGGTACAGGRAAACTGGAACTTAGAGATYTAGGCTCTGAACCTCGTCGTTGTTGCAAATCTTGCAAGCTTTTACTCTTTGATGATAGCTTTCCTTGTGTTTGTATAGTCCGAGGAGGAGTGGGACGATTACATGGTGATCTGTGTCGGCTATGAGACCCTCGTCMTGGGGAAAGACAACGGTCCAATGTAGGGCTGTTTCTACCACCAGATAACGTTCGGGCACGTGGGCTACGCTTACCACCAACCTTGAAAGAATATATAACGAAAATATGAATGCAATGATCGATTGATTTTAATTACCGACAACTTTTGCTTTACTCAGGAATTGATTATGAATTAACTGGGTGATGAAATAATTGTGTTTGAAAATCTATTAGAAATAAAGCAAAAAAAGCGAGACAGACTGCCAAAACAACACCYAGCTAAAAACCAAGTACTCCTGAATCCACGAGTTAACTGACAAATTATCTTTCTAAATAAATTAAAAATTGAGTAATATGTATTCCTCCTTTCAAAAATTATTAAAAATAAAGAAAAAAAAACTAACAAAATAAAAAAAAAGGAAAAGAAAAAAAAACGTCCCCGGGTMGGCTTGAACCACCAACCTTTCGGTTAACAGCCGAACGCGCTAACCGATTGCGCCACGGAGACATGTTATATTCTCGAAGAGATTTTTTTAATATATATTCATAACCTTCTGAATTRTGTTCATACCGGTTGTGATGATGACAAAAAAGAGCAAGTAGTCCCTGTAGATTCGTACGATTCTGTACTCGACAAACTCGCCATGCTGGTTGAGCTTGGTGAACGAACAAAGTCATCCATTTGCTGACCCCCTGACGGCGGACGAGGAGTCTTTGAAGATCTTCGATGGACTGGCAATTAAACAATTTTATAAAATGAAATATAGTTGAACAAAATGCGATACGATTTAAGAAATAGAKGGAATGAAAGAAAATGGGATGAAATGAAGTTATTGATTGATATACAAGATGATAAACTAAGAATGAAAGAAAAAATTGAATAAAAAATGGAGTAAAATTTATTGGCGTCATCATAAAATACGACAGTAGAAAATTTTTTTGAATATAATGGAACATATAATGCGGGAAACAGATAGKAACATAGAATGAACAAAACCATTATAGAATGAATAGGCTATTTCTTTGGTTAACTTTATGCTAAAGCTAAATGSTRCSGCTTACCTACTAAGCGACATGGATCGTGTTTTTCAAAATATCTATCAAGCGTATCCCAACCACCGCCAACGCGAACCATAACATGTTTCCTCATAACCTAAAAACAAACATCTACAATGAGCACTTAAACAGAGGATGATATGTCTTCGTGAGCAGATATCCTGAAAACAACCTTACCCGAACAAATATCAAATTCTTGGATTCTCCCATGGAATATTTGCCGTCGGATATTCTCTGTACGGGGTACATTGTTGGACAAGTACACTTTTTCTGAACTTCAAACACCTYAAAAAGTAACAYGGAAGMCCSGAAAAGGAATTAATAAAATAGAAAAAAAATCGAGTGAATGAAGAAAATAAAACAGACTGCGCGGTATAACAATTACCCAAAGAAAATGAGAACTATWAAAATAGTTAATGTGTTTGATATATTGAAAAGACAACTAAATTACAAGGGATCCAGCATTAAGCCATTAGATAAGAGAATGATTACACAACGTACTGCTTCGTATTTTTTATTTACGACACTCATATTATGTATATTTTTTCAAAGTCTTGTTTGGCTTTTTTGCCATTACATCTTCCCTCACTTTTCTAATGGTACATCCCTATAACATTGTGAACCGTTTTCACGGAAATGACCCACTGATTGACACGTTGTATTCCGCATGTAGAGAAACTGACATTTAATTAATTATTTGAAAACGTCGAGTGTGGTTTAATACTATATTAATGTTGTTTGGACATCACTTTCTTTGAATAACGACTAAATGGGCGCTAAACCTCCCTCCCTTTGAAAGATTTTTAACTGCGCCACAAAACCTCAAGTATCACCGCCTCATGTTAATATTAAAGATACACTGATCGTTGACAAAATACCTGCGATCATAAAGTGAGTTTCTTTCAGCATTAAAATTACTGTCTCTATTATTTCATTATTGAATTTCCTCCGAATTCTCCCTTTATCAACGTTCAGTTTTCATATTGGACGMTTTTCAGTTACTTTGTGTCCTGTGGAAAGCTATGAATGGAACGTTGCGTTTTTTTGGGATACATACAGTGTCGCATACGTTAGAGAATTGAATCGTCCAAGCATGTTTTGAGACCGGATTGTAAAATGTTCTTGGTTCATTTTTGTTATTATATTATCAAGTTTCAGATCATAAAAACCGRTATTTTTCCTATGTATATAAACCAATAAAAAGCTTTCACGTTTCATWATTCATTATACAAAAACAAAATATTTTGCTAAGTTTAACCCAAAGTATCGTGTATATCTCGCTTGCAAAAATAGCTAAACATCAATAGAACAGATAAAAATGGTAAATATGACAGCACTYCCAATGATGATACATGAGATTATCCCGCAGTTTCTTAATAGCGATAACTGTGGTTGTTATTCTTAGCACTCTACGTGGCATCTAATAGGAATTCACACTTTATATATGTAATCATTAAGCAAGACAACCTACTGAGAGGTTATACTCCTTTTTACGCAATAGACAATAATATTTGTCTAATGATCGTGCAAGTTACGTTGTCTACGACCTAAAAAATACAGTTTTTTTTAAGAAAAAATAGGTACAAACCACAAAACATGATATATTATAATGGAATCTTTTATAATGGGTTCTTAGTTTTTTCTAGCCTTCCTTTTAAAAAATATTTTGAATAATTAAGGCYTGCACCAACTATTGCGAAACTATTGTCATAATAAAACTACAACACTATTAGTATTATTGATATCTCGGTGAGCAAAAGACATACATTAAACGAAAAAACAAAAGAAGCAGTTGTGTTCCATTCCCACTCAAATACAAATATTCTAATTTGTCTCGAAATGTTCTTTCAAACRATAGGTGTATGTCATTATGATAATAATTTTCTTTGTAAAAAGCGACCACATTTTTTTCCACAACCACTTTAGCTCTACGTGACGCCTGTAAAAAATCTGTAGTAKGATTTGAGCCATTCATTTTGTTAGCGCGGACCAGTCATTTTACGAGGTCTACCGCAAAGTCAAAGATACCCTGTAATGCATGTATGACCATTCTGAGGTAGATTTAGATTCAATATGAGACGTTTTGTTGAAAACACTGACATCGCATTTCATTTCACTTTTCTTAAACGTTTCTTTCTTAACTTTTCATTTTTCAATCAGTCTCATTTCTTTCGGACTTTTTCAATAAAACTATAAGAATTTATATTATTATTTATATTATATGTTAAACTTTCTTCGTATAGAAAAGGGTAAGTTTATTGAAGCATTTTCAGTTCATTTCTCCCCAGTTATTTTTTTTTTGTCTTCATAAATAGCTAAAGCAATTCAGTTCGAATAGCAAATATTTTCCGATGTTTCATTTTTTACCATTCTAATCTTTTAAGKAAAAGCAGGATAATTTCAATTAGTGATGATACAATAACCTATTATAGTYCCAAATCGTCATTATATCCATTGCATATGTTCTGCCATTCGCTAGTGAGCTGTCGAAATGCAAGCGGATTACAAGGTCAAAGAGATTTTATAATAGCGATCAAGAGGGGAAAGCTTAAATAATTTACATCCAGGCTTCAAGACCRTGCGGTGCAGCACATTTATTATTCGCCTTTAAGCACATCTTTCCAATTACTTACATCTTTTTGAAATAAAAACAAACTTTTTTGATTGAACMTTCGTGTGATAAAGATGGAAAGTAAACGTGTAGATCAGGTTTTCTATTCGCACGTGGTGATCTATTGTCTCCACGAGATTGAATGTGGGTATCAATAAGAGCCAGATGGTTCCAGTATATATATATAGTAATTCTATCGATGGCATCACAAATGTACGTTTTCAATGTATGTAAACACTTTGGTTTAGATTTTATAGAAAAACTAAAGTGCTGAATCATTTTAGCGAAAAGGGGATTGTATATATGCCARTATTTTAGTAGTGGTTCAAAAAAGGCAAAACAGAATAAACGCAGTTTATAATTAGTCGTGTTGTATTATGACAGAAAATGTCTTGAGTCAACTAAGCATTAAAGAAGTAAATAATTGGCATGGCTTAATCAAGAATTAGAATGTTTTTCTCCTAAAAAATTTCTTTCGGAACAAGCACTGCAAGTAGATCTACTTTGACTGATTTTCAGATTTTTTTTCCTATTCCTTAATTCTAATGTCATATTCTCTTTCTTTATGAAAGATAATTTTAAGTCATTTATACGATGATTTCTCATTTATATTTTCATTTCTCATAGCTAAAGTCATTCTTTTCAAATCCCATTCCGTTTTCATCTGTTTTTCATTTATATACTAACCTCAAAGGTTTAACGTACTATTAAATATAGTTTTTAAAGCACTGATTCATTTTTCAAGATGAYAAGCATAATCTGTTTACTAAAGGCACTTTTCAACCACAGCTCAATCATATTCGACACTAAAATGCCGTCTCTACTCTCTATTCCTGCGAAAGACGAATGATTAATAATCATTTTCTTAATGAAGAAAGGAGAGCGCWATGGAAATGAAATCCAATATTTAATTTTGTTGCAACGAAGTCAATTCGTTGGTCCAAACCACGATAAATACAAAAACATTTCCTCGTATAATAAAAACGTTTTTAGATGAAAATGGCTTTTATGCGTGCTTGGGGGGGGGGTTTCATTCCTCTACACTTTCAATAATTCAAAGAGTGTCTAGACTCAAGAATATTAATCTATATCGAATAAAAAGTGGTAGTATATTTGAATTCATATCATCATATACTATTGCTTGTAGGTTTTGCTTATCGGCAAACAGAAATATCAAACAATGTTGTTCGTGTTTGTTTTTCATTTCCTCTGAGATTTTTCTTCCATTTCATTCAATATTATCTTATTTTTCATTTTTTCTCCACTCATCTTCATTTCTTACTTTTTTATGCTGTTTTCGAAGTTTATTTGTTTCTTTTTATTCTATACACCTTTCCATTCTTTCCTTCCCTTCTTTTTTACTCTTTTCTCTCTTTTTTCATTTTTTCTCTGCGTTCCCTTTCTTTGTCCACATTATATTCATTGACGAGAGATCTAACGGATATTCACAGTTAAAGTGCAGGTTGTGATCKATGAACTCTGATTTCGTGCACAATAATAATTGCTTTATCATAACATTCGATCTTTTCACCACACAGACATAAAACGAAAATTAATAACCTTGAAAAGTAACGAATTTAAAAGACGTAAAATGTAAAATATAGAAAAATATCGGCAAACATGCAAGGAATTCATGTTGTGTAAAATTACTATAAATTCTCAAAGAATAATGTTTTCACGAGGAATTAACTTCATGTGCATTTAAATGGTTTCTTGTCATTCTCACGTGCTCTTGTTCGATTTTATTATCTACGATGAAAGGTTCTTCCCAACATGTGTCGAGATTGAATGTTACGCAAATAAAAACAACATTGCCTTTTTTTCTTATTTCATGAATAACCAGGATGTTTTTCCAGGATTTGAACGAACCACATTCCCTATAATCAAATTTTACAATTCAAATTAACTCTAGCTATGAGTCAGATCACGCAAAAAAATTTAAACCACCTCAAAAACAATAAAAATCATTCATCTAGAACTTCAATGACATCTATACTATGTTTACGAGTTTGCCTAAAAATAACAGAATTAAATAAAAATCAAAAGTAAGATAATACGCACCGAAGCCTTAAATGCGAGTAAATTTAAACCATTGACATGATAATTTACGATGCAACTTACAAGATCGTCTAGGCTGTGAGACTTGTGTTTTTTCTTCAGGACAGTCAAGATAGGCTCGGTCTTCGGTTGTTCTGGTTCATTCTGTAATTCCTTATCGATTTCATTTTCCAGTCTTACAAGTTCTGGTGGATCTACGCCGACCTTGAAGACTCTTCGGGCTACTTCCAATAGAGTCAATAAAACAGCTTTTTCATTTTTATTCGATACCAAGTCCTCCGTTTCAAACATAATGACATCGGGTACACCAACATCTCTACACCAGCGAATAAAATTACAAACATTATCCCTTGCAATAAAAGAACCTTGTACTGCTCCTCTGTCCTTGAATTTGACTCCTACTCGTGGAAACACAATTTTACCTCTACGATTACTGCTAAAGAATTTTTCTCCGGTATTTTGAATGGAATTAGCAAGCTTGCAAAGAACTACTCCAGTTTCCAATACGTTCGTAAATGTATCGACGGTGATATCCATCTTTAATAAACGAGATATCCACGATGCCAGATCTTCTTTCAAGGCTAACAGCCATTTATCAAGTGGTTCAGTTTTCTCGCCCGACGTTTCTTCGTCTTGCTCAACCGCTTGGTCGTTGCTCACGGCTTCCGCCATGTTTCCTATCCAGCTGGAATTTCAATATGATAATGTGTAGCGATTCCCAATGGGTTCTCTATTTCTTACTGGAAACTCATGATCGATAGACAGTGGAGTAATTTACGAATTTTCTGGAATGCATCCTGAATTTGTGCTCGTTCTGTACTTTGGACATGACAAAAGGACTACCAAATTCACGACTGAAGTAGTCAGAGGACGCGCGCAAGTGATGTTATGAAAAACATCTGACGTAGTCTGACTCGTCACAAAAAATTTCTAAACTCGCTTATGGTTCACTTAGCGCTCAGTTTCTACTGAACTTTAACAGCTTCTTGTGTGTCGGAGGATTTGATGGGCCAGTGATGAAGACAGACCTCCAATGCATGGACACAGCATTTGTAGCCGCAATTGTTCGCCCAAGATCCTATCAATTTGAATTGGCTCTATTTGGAGGTGTCAAYCATCGGAACATCAAAGAATGTGAGCGCCAGTCTCTGGTGTACTCTTACGGGTAGTTTCCTGGATCGTTTACATTAAAAGTTCACAATCTTTATACCGCCCCAGAAAAAAATATATCTGTCTGATAGCCATCGAAATAAGAAACCCACMTCTGCCGTCACGCTACTTGCCTTTCAAAGCTGACACATAAACAAATAATTTATCGCATCTTTATTTTTTATTCAACAGAAATTCTGTTATCACGGATCTGCTATATATGAACATTATTGATTCAAACAATAATTGCACTGTTGAATGTAAACAGAACGTCAAAAAAAGTCAACAAATATAGCCAGACTAGACACTGTGACATCGCGTGACATTGTGCGTCACACAATGGTGTCTCGTTGTMTCACGATATTTCGACGAAATGTCAAAATGTACATGAATCTTTCTATTAGCTGCTTATTTAGTGATTAAAGGATTTTTTTAATAGAAGAAAATGATATAAACAGTAGTCATTTTTAGAAGACTTTTATTAACCATAGTTTTTATTATCATTGATTTATGGAAGAATCAAAACTTATTTTAGTCCTTTTATTATTCCAGTATTCTTTATTCAAGTCCAGCTTTGTATAAACAGAAAAATAAAACATTAGCAGCCAAGAGTTGAGCAACTCGACGATGGAGGTCCAGACCATTAGCGACCGGAAATCCAAAGAAAGTATAACTTCCGGTGGATTAATGAAACACGTGAAGAGAATATCAACAAGAGGCTTTATTGAACTCTGTGATCATACAGTGATTTTTGATATAAAGTAGGAAAAGAGAAAACAGAATCACAGCGAGATTGTGTGGAACGCGTACGGCATACAAGTGTACTAGATTATCTAGAGGTTTTTTTTAGATAGAGGTTTTTCAATCTGCAAGGCTGCAAAGGGATTAACTCATTCAAAGCTGAAAAAAACGTGCGATAAATGAACCCTTCAGCTGTATAACGTAAATGTAATCAGTAATCTAAATCACTAACGTTGGACAGAAGCGAAGCAGACTATTGTCTGGACACATTTCATGATGAATTTGGATTTATTCACAGGAATTTTTACATATACAATTCCTGAAAAAAATCAGTATACGAGAACAGRTAAACTGATGTATCGGAATGACTGTTTTTAGTAAGGAAGAAAGGTGAAGAAACCTTTCACATAGTTTTATCTCTTATTATGGCTCTGCACCACCCAGTCGAAATACTATATCAATATCACACCCTTTAGATAAAAGATATTCCAAAATTCTTAAAACTGGGCGTTATAAATWCTGATCCGTTTTAACCGGATTGTTAACCGGATTGCAATACAATCAAACTGGCTGAGAAGGAACCAAAAGGAATTATAGGTATTCAAGTGCATTCCGCCCTTTAGTTTTCTCATAATAAGAAAACATGACTCGCACGCGAGAAACGGCGTGTCACRGGATGGAAATTTTCAGTGCAACCCAACGCCAATATCCCAGGTTCTTGAATTATCTAATAATCTATAATTAATTAATAATCTATATCGAGTCTAAAATACGTTTTCCTATACTTTTGTAACTCTTTATTTAAAGTAGCGCTTTTGGTGTCAAGGGCGGGTCCAGAGGCGATGATTAGAGRGGCTAGAAACTCCCATTTAAGGTCTCAAAAATAAAATCAACATTGAATATGTCCTAATGACTAAAAATAAATCTGGATGGGACTTAATCTGAAAAAGTTAAAGTGACTTTAGCCTGCAAAAAGTTGATTTTCCCAGCCATAAATGGTCATAAATCCGATCCTTTTGCTTTCCTCCTTTGTATAAAGTTCTGAATTTGCCCGGCATGTTTTATAATAAAAACACGGTGCAGTACGTGACATAGTCTCCTCTCGCAGCCGTTAGGACGTTCGTTCCCAGGGAGTGACCTGGGAACGAACGTCCTAACGGCTGCGAGAGGAGACTATACGTGACATATGGTCGTTTAATCCACGAGCTATCAATCATTTTTGTAAGAGAAAATTTAAAAATATAAATATGGGAACTGTACGCATAAAAGATCACGTGACTAGTTTCGGTATTTTTCTATAGTTTTCAAAATGATTTCAGAGCGAAACTACGTCACACTTGAGAACGAGAAAAGAAACCGAAGCTGAAACACATGTGAAGGTTCAAACTAACGCTTCCTCTCAGTCGTCTTCTTCTTCTCGGCCTCTCAGACATGGATGTCCGGGCTAAACAACTTTGTCAAGAGTTCTTTCTGCGCCAAATCAATGAGGCAAAACGCATGTACGACCGTGTGACTGTTTGTCATTGTGAGCARATTGGTGGTGAGTACTGTACGTGTGCTCAACATGAATCAAGTATGCAAGCTGTTGATGGTTCAGCCTCTCCCTCTATTCAGAGTAATGGACTCAATGGGAATGGTAAGAGAACAGTCCACAGAAGAACTGCATATAAAGCGTTTTGCAAAAATTCTGTAAAATTAGGAATAACGTTCCATGCATTTATAGTATGCTTTAATGCTTATGCTTTGCTAATTGCCATTTTTTTTTTTTTTGCTTCAGCATGTTCAATTTCATTGARATTTGAATGATATATCAGCAAAAATGCTGCTGGAAAGAAATATAGACTTTTCACAGTRGCTCGCAGATTTTGAGCTAACAGTTACGCATTGTTTCAAAGTCAGAATTAGTGTATAATATTGTTTCATTTAGCAAGAATTTTATGCGTGATGAAACTATTCTGGCTGTCAAATGAGAATGTGTGCAAATACTGTAAACAGGTAAATCATGAAAGGAAAACTGAAAACAATAGAACCAGTATTTGTGTTACCGGGGGATAAGAAACGGAAAAAAATACGAAATGCTTTAAAAGACTTAGTCACGAGTAATCTAGAAACAATGAGAATAAAATAAAGTGGAAGTGTAGTCAGACTGAAAACTAGATGTCTCAAACGGAATCGTAAACAGAATTGACATGAAAGTTGACAAATTTTAAAATGGCGGCGATCACTTCCGATTGATATACAGTATAAAAGCATGCTGTAAAATGTCTATCTTTGATAGAATTTCCCACAGACACTGTACACGTATGGAAAATTATGCCACAAAAAACAGCGTCCAACTCCCTTTTCTTGTTTCACTTGACTTAAAGTTTTGAATGAAAAAGCAAGATTTTTTTTTGCTATTTCAGATACAATGTGTACTTACAACAGAGATTCTGCACTTCCATCAAGTTCCCGATCTACTGCAGAGAGGCCCAGACCCTTCGTCAATAATTCTGAACATCTATGGCGGCTTCGCATGATGTCTTTATCAGGTTCGACTTTACACATKAAACCATTCGTAAAACAGACTTCCCTTGATGAACACAGCTACGATGGTCTCACGAATCCGTTCGTCATTGTGATAAACAACGTGAACTTCAAAGGATGTCTCGTGCCAAGGAATGGTGCTCAAGCAGACATGGAAAACGTCAAGAGATTCTTGAAAATAGCTCGCTTCAGCTCATGTGATATTAGCGAAAACTTGGATAGAAATTCGATGCGKAAAGTWTTTGAACGTACTCGAGAAAACCCKGATTTAGGTAATGGATATTATCTTACTTTGTTTCGACCAGTGACGGGTGAGAATCCCTCTGAACGTCTTCTCTGGGCTTTAAAGTCGCCTTAAGTCGCCGCTACTTAAAAAGAGACCCAAGTCCATTTTTAAGTGATAATTGGGTGGGACACATTTGCGTTTAAGGGCGTCTCGAGGTTACTTAAGGAATTCGAGTATTATCGAGTSGGGTCCCTTGGCATCTTAAGGCAAGTTAAGGAAAATTTAGGGAGAACTGGATGGSAAGCCTTGTCAGCCCAAGGCGTCTGAAGGCGACTTTCTGGCCCGGAGTAGGTGTTATTGATAAGATATTATTCTCCTTATTTTGCGGTCACCTTGTAGAAAATACCTGTACCCCACCACGATTAAATCCTGAATCCGCCAATAATACKCCTACATGCAAATAACACCTTTTTCTCCTCATGCCAAATCTAGTCGGATCGCGCCTAAAACGTTGTTCTTTTCCTTAGTGGACTACGATGGTTTGATATGTTTTATTTTGAGCCACGGCAGTGAAAAAGGGATCCTGGCATCGGACAACGCCCATATTCAGGTTGAAGAAATCACATCCATGTTTGGAGGCGATCAGTGTCAATCTCTGGCAACTAAGCCTAAGTTGTTTTTTATTCAAGCGTGCCGGGGTGATGTTGATGACCGGGGGTTTCCACTTGTCTCTAGGGGCATGGACGTGGTGCCCGATAACGAGTTAGATTTAAGCAAAGTCCCCGTGATCCTTCCTAGTGACGCGGACTTTTTGGTGGCATATTCAACAACTAAAGGGAAGACCTCGTACAGGCAGTTCATAGCAGATAGTCGTGTAATGSAAAACCATATGCCATCGATGGGTTCGTGGTTCATTTCTTGTCTTACACAAGTGATCTTGGAGTATTCGCATGAAGACCTTCTCACGATGCTTACTCGTGTCAATAAAGCCATGTGCGAGTTGTACACCATTCAGGCTTTCAAACAAGTATCGTGCTACCACTCTGTGTTGACCAAAAAGGTTTATTTCCCCACTATCCAACAGAACACGTACAATGGAGCCAATTATAAAGAAAACTAACGGCCTCTGATATTTGTCATATATTCAGGCGCGTAGCGTGGACGTTTTAGCTAGTACGCACATGTCAGGGACCACGACACATATTATGGATTGGGGGGCTACATATTATGGATTGGGGGGCTAACGACCCCTGAAGCCGGGAGTATTCAGGGAGTTCTGGGGGTCCTTCCAAGGAAATATTGAAATAATAACTTTGGAAATGTGATTTCCAGCGTTTTGAGGCTCTTTCTGATAGCGAAGCAATGGTGCCAGAGAGCAAGCAAAGAAAATTATATAAAAAAATCCCGAAAATTTTAATATTTCCTTGTCACTAGTACGCACGTGCGTATATGTGTAAAGGACGCTACGCGCCTGATATTGCATGAACGTTTTTGTAACGGAGTATTCTTACTTTTATGCCATGGAATGTATTCAAACCTTTTATGCGTAAGTAAAAAAACAAAACATCTCCCTGCCCTCGGGGAGATTTGACACTGTTTTAACATTACAYTCGATGGGAAGTCTGGTCAATTAACGACTAAATCAAAGGAAATGATCRGTTTAGGCGCCTTTTGGGCCTCTCAGGACCGTGACATTGTTAAAATGTTAATTCCCCKAGTACTGCCCGGAGTGATCTTGGGAGACGTGCTTTTTTAATTAACTGTTGCGTTAAGACATACGAAAGGTCACCGAACCTCAAATCTTTCGTTTGACTTTAAAGGCCCAGTTTGCACCATTGGTATATTTTGATGGGTATGTTTCTGTTAGTACTTGGGAGATGAGCGCAGCAGGAGAATTATCGCGCCTCTGTTGTTATGATTTACACCAAAATACTTCTAGTATCCAAATATCACCATAAAATGAATGTCAGATGGTAGAAAACTCTAAATTAGCGTTTAAAGTGCTTAGAAAAGTAAGATGGTCAAATATTCGAAACGCACAGTAAAATTAAATTTATAGACTTTCGGTAAACTGAAAATGGCCGCCTCCAGGCCCTAGCGACCCCCAAAGCATAACGGTGCACGGTGCACACTGGGCCTATAAAGTAGTAGTAACCCTAGCCAGTAGTAGTAATGCCTTATAATGTAGCGTGCCGGTACGAGTTGACAATATTCTTATAGTAGAGAGCCTGAAGTACCAGTAATACAAATATATCATGATAGTAGCATGGCAGTCTGAAGTAATGCCAGCAGTAGTATTTATAGTAACATGACAACCTTAGTAAATGTGCATTATTTAATATCACCATACTTGAATAGAATCCATGGAACTTACTTAAACAATACTTTTCTACTGATCTTTACCAATGAGCATTCTATATTCCCCCTAAACCTGACACACTAAATACATTTTTCTCGTGAATAAAATAAAATAAATATTATTGCTGGAACATGTCACTTTGAGGAATGAAATGATGATTTTGCAGAAATTCAGCCAGAGAATGATAGTTGTAGCATTGATTCCTCATTGCATGTTTCATAATGTAATGTTGATTTTAACTTAATTTGCTACACCAGTATTGGMTTTTGACCAACCCCTATCACAACAATCACGTTGATAATTATTAATGATTATCAATTATTAATTATTATTAATAAGCATCGGAAAAAGCATGCAATTGCTATCATTAAGACCAATTTATGTACATCTAAGATTTATAAATTCAAATAAAAAACACCACAATCTACCATTGCTATTAGCGGCACTAGAACTAGAACCTATTACTTAAAGCTGACAACTTTTGATGCTGGCTGTCCAAACATAGCTTCCCCTAAGTCCTCACTTAGCTCAGCAAGTTTGGCTGGGTTTTTGTAGTGTGTTACAGCRTGTGCCATGGCCCATGCTCGTTTGGGTGGATTGGAGCTTCTAAAGATACCAGARCCAACAAATACGCCATCCACACCAATTTGCATTAGAAGAGAAACGTCTGCAGGAGTAGCTGAAAAATCAATAGAGAAAAAACTAAATTATAGCTCTCAACAATTTCAGATGCAAGGAATAATCTGTTCCCCTAGGTTGTATTCATTTCATTTTTCCCGTCAACTTTTCAATAATCCAATTAAAATGGCCCTTTAGAAAAGATATTAACTCTGGTGCTGATTTCAGACGCAAAAAGGCACAAGCAAGCACATATTATTTGCATTTACACCAAAGACCTTTCCTGAAATACAAAATCACAGTGCATTGTGGTCTAGCTTCAGCACAAATGACATCATATTTGGCAGCATGAACAAAGATATTTGTACTGAATCTAGACCACAAAGGAATGGGTTATGCTATTTCAGAAAAGGCCTATTTCAATTGGTAAAATCAGGACTGTGTATTAATGTTCAGAAACTCAAAGGTATGTAAGGATCTTACATAAGGTCCTTTCAGCACCCCTATCACTACTTCCCTTCCAATTCATTCACACAGAGTCAGCCAACAATGCCTTACCTAAGCCTCCAGCTGCAAAATTCACCACAGGTAAACGCCCTAGATCTGCTGTTCTCTGAAGCAAGTCAAATGGAACTCTTAATTCTTTAGCATAGTTGTACAACTCTGCTGTGTCAAGACCTTGAGCATAACGAATTTGGGAACGAATTGCCCTAGCATGGCGAACTGCTTCTGACACATCACCTAGGAATCAAAATATATATGATATGAAAACACAATATAATAGCCACTAGMTGTTTTTTTGCAGCACTCAAATGACTTTGAATTTACTGTTGAAAGTTTCCTTTGTGCACAGCAGACAAAAATAGATATATTCTCACAGTCTTTCAATATGATATTCCCTGCTAAAACTTGGAAATTATTCACTTCCTGACCCAAATATCTGTTGTCCAAGTAGCAAGGTCTGCATAATATTGTCTGTATTGAAATAGTGAAATATTAATTTATGTCCTAACCTGTTCCTGCTTGTCCTTTAGTCCTGATCATTGCAGCTCCTTCAGCTATTCTTCTAAGAGCTTCACCCAAGTCTCTAGCTCCACAAACAAAAGGAACTTTAAAATTGTGCTTGTCGATGTGGTTTGCATCATCAGCTGCTGTAAGAACTAAAACAGCAAGAAAAGGTGATATCTTAAATGCCATAGATAAGGTATTTATAATAACACCCATTTTGTWGTTACAAAATGCCAAAATCATGCAGTTTCCAGAGAAATCTCCACTTGCATCAAAAACCTTAGCAATTGTTTATTTTGTTTTAAAACATATATATATCTGGTTGATTTCTGATTGTTTCAAAAATCAAGGATGGCAATTTCTTGTATGTGAGAAATTTTATTGCAAAAAGGTTCTTGTTTGTATGCTGACAGTTATGTAGCTATTACGACCCCAAACAAACCTTCTGACTCATCGACCATATCAACACCAAGAGATTCAAGAATTTGTGCTTCTGCAAAGTGTCCAATACGTGCCTTTGCCATGACGGGAATAGTTACTGCACTTATAATCTCTTTGATTAACTGAAATAATATTTATCAATTAGCTCCATAGTAAAATACCTGTACATAGAGGATATTACATGGACGCACGGAAATACTAATTTTATCTTCATGTGTTTAATCGATATCTCACGAGTGAGCATAGAAAAATTGAAAACGAGAAGATAAAATATTTCCAAGTGGCAAGTCAATTTGATACACCTTTGATTGACTCAATACACATGCTGCCATTTGGTACAAATTTGATCCAATCGATAATCATTTGATTCACTTGATACAAGTCAATTCAATACACATGGCATCCACTCAATACACATGGCATGTCAATTCAATACACATTCGATCAACTCGACACCTATGGCAAGTGAAGATGCTGTATTTCTTCATTTGGGACACCCCACTGACACATTTCTGGTTCCACACTCGACTTAATTACACTAAATTATTCATTAATGATGAAAGCCTACCTTAGGGTCTGTCATACGTGCAACGCCCCCATCTCTGCGGATATCTGATGGGATCTTTTCCAAAGCCATTACAGCACAAGCCTTTAAAATATAATCAAAAATATGATCAAAATTCCCTCTCAATCAACATGTAAAGAATAGTAAAGAATGAACAAAGAAAGAATGAAACTTAATTAATGAAGGATGCAAGAAATTAGTAAAGGGGAAAACGTAATGAGAAAATATTAGATGGAAAGAAGGAAAAATATTTAAGGTGTAAATTGGGAAGGAGTACATGTATGTTAATAAAAGGAAGTAATTTAATGGATTTAATCTAAATCAAGGATTATAAGACTTCTAAAATTATACACTTAAATAAAAATGATAAAATAGATAAAATGAACTTAAAGAAAATTTACAACTCACCCCAGCATTCTCTGCTATTCTTGCTTCTTCTGCTGTAGTGACATCCATAATTATTCCACCTTTAGCCATCTGAGCCAAACCAGCTTTGACTTTGAATGTACCTGGCAAAGGGAATAGACAAGGAACATTTASCTTAGGACACCAGCACTGATTTGCTTATGTAAGAGTTCAATTATGTTCTTTCATGAAAACCAGAATCACTTTATAAAAGAAATGTGAATGGCTGCTTGTTTCGATTAGCCTGATTTTCAGACGGCGCCTGGGTCCTACGCTTCACTCCACCCCCACTTCCGTGTGGAGTGAAGCGTAGGACCCAGGCCCCGTCTGAAAATCAGGCTATGTTTCGATAACCATCATCCAATATTAACAGATAGGGAAAGATATGGAGAATGCATGATTGGAGTTATCTTTTGTTGGGCCATATGCAGGGGGTTCCAGAGACCTCCTGAGCAGACAAAGACTTTGAAATATAAGACTTTATATAGCTAAAACAATAGGGTGAACCTATACACGCATCAGGAGTTTCAGAGAACAATGTGTCCGCCATCTTGAAAAGTGAGCCCTGAATCACTGTTTTGCCTTAGAACAAATTTCATAGTTGCTTAGTCAACTAATCTATCATCATAACGTATATTATATTAGATTTACATTAATTTAGAACCTTTTAATTTCTTTAGGAGTTATAATTTAGTGATTTGAGTCTCACTTTTCAAGAAGGCGGATGCATTGTTCTCCGAAACTCCTGATGCATGTATAGCTTGGACCCCAACTGGAATCCTCCCTCATGAAACCCATGTACATGCTCCCACTCTCTCTTGRAGAGTTGCAAAATATCCTAGGAAGGGAAAGACATGAAGACTGATTCTTCTTACCAGTTCTGTGTTGAAATGCTGGTACAATATTTGAACGGTTTCCATTTGATGTTTCATTTAGTGATAAGTTACTGACTTCTGTAACAAATTTRAAATAAAATAATCAATCAATAATCYAAGGAAAGCGTGACCACTGATAATATATCACATWCTTTTGCTGTATGTCTGTATCAAACTACAAGCCAAACATAACATCTATTTTACATTCAACTCAAGTTTTTATCTGTGGTCACACTTTTGAGATTTGCACTATAAAATAGGAAAGATAGTAAATATAGTATAATTTGAGTCACACTATGAACCTGAACTTGCTACAAGGCTATGGTGCATAGTGAGGTTCAGAAAGACAATTGATTTCCATTTAAATATCATGATAATCTATGGTGTTTATAAAAGCCATATTACTTTAGGTAACTGTGTGCAAATAGTTGGACTCAAATAACTGTTATATAACACGTGCATTGATTTGCTGAATTGTCGAAAAAACTGTGTTTCTATAATGTTTGCAGCTCGCAGTTTTAAATGCCGATAAAGGTCTCCCGCTCATATTTTACATATTACAAAAAAATGTTATGTGTAAATTGTGATTCAAACTATCTTTTTGTGCTTCAAATTATTTATCATTGCTTGATAATTTTTCTAAACATGACCAAAAACATTCTCTTAAGCTGTTACTAGTAAAGGACAGAATTATTTACATTTAAACTTACTAATACTACATCCTGTAGCAACAAATTGTCTACAATTAAACAGCATTTCATTGCATAAGTTACATCATAAATATAGGTTTATTGCATAACACAAGACTTTTACAACACAATTCTATCTAATTTTCTTTTCAAAGCAATTAAAAAGCAAATGACATCTAAATAATACAACATATTTGTTCTGACATTTCTAATAATTTAAGGGAATTTTGCATATGTCCATGATATTAAAAAATCATCCTTTCAATCTTATTAAACCAACCGTTGCTTTAGCACGTCAATTTGTTCGAAAATTTCGAGTCAAAGATATAAAAATTGGCAATTCAGAGCATTATCAAGAACAAACTCACCGTTATGAACGCCATTTCTAAGGTCTTGTGGTACTGTGGCCGACATTTCCAGCGCTGTAGGATATTCCAACTGATAATGAAACACGTTTGCACTGTCCACTTTACCAACTTTGTCTGTCAAAAATTGTACTATTGGGGGACGGGAGGGTAGTTTACTGCATGATATTACTTCATCTTTTCGTTGGATAAAGCGGACTTCACGATTTATTATTATCAAAAATGTGAATACTCTATAATATGAGAAAAATCAGTACTTGATATTTTTGGTCTTACTTGAATTATAAAAGGGAAATATAGGGAAGTTATTCCTCCCCTCTTACCCCTCCCCCGGCGATAATTGAAATTGGGAGGAATGTTGCATCATATCGCTGGCTCACATGGGTGTAAGTGACGCCTTGCATAACACATCAAGGCAAATTGTAACTGGGGTTACAGAACTGCGCTGCTGGTGAAACCCTACCTGCAAAGTTTACATGTTTACTTGAAGATCTTGTCGCCAAGATATTCAAATATATAGTTGTGAGGCATTTGGCGTAAAGACGATCGATCATGGGCGATTGCACCCCTGTTGGACTCCACGTTGGCATTTTGGCGATTCAAGGAGCGTTTTCTGAGCACAAAATTTCCTTGACAAAAGCCATTAAAAACTACCAATTCGAAAAGCCTATAAAACTCTCGCTTGTGGAAGTCCGAGAAGAAGAAAACCTTGAGGGACTAGATGGTTTGATACTCCCAGGTGGCGAGAGCACAACAATGGCGATCTTTCTTGAATCAAATGGGCTCACACAAGTACTCAGGAATTGGATCAACAGTGATAAGTCGAGGGTTGTTTGGGGAACCTGTGCAGGATTGATTCTAATGTCAAACGAGATCGAAGGAAAAAAGCAAGGGGGACAATCTCAGGTAGTTTCTTTTGTTGGGCTTCCTGTGTAAAACATTGTAATGATGATCACACATGTCCTGTCAATCAATCACATCATGCACATAAGACCATAGCATGACGGGAATTAACTTCCATTCACTGAAAATTACAGTTATTATTGGAAATTACATAACTATCACTATTAAGTTCACCCCTCRCCTAACAGTTTTTGACAGTCATCCTACACCTCACTTCCTGTGTACACGGCTCATTTCTCTCTCAYCACTACTGTTCTTCATAATTTATTTCTGAAACCTTGGAATGATTTGTTGCCTTTTTGAAATATAGCATAACATAATATGCATCCTGCACTGAGATTCATCAGGTCATAGTCTAATATTGGAAACCAAGTCTAACGTTTGTAACAAGAAGTGAAGTGGTATACAAACCACATTTTGAAAAAAAAACAACAAAAAACATTATAATCATACTAATGCCATGACACTCATAAAATGAAATGGTTCTACTTTTATTACAGATTGGTGGTCTCGATGTAACTACATCTAGGAATTTCTTTGGCCGTCAATTAGATAGTTTTGAATGTGTTTTAGATATAAAGGACTCCAAACTTCAAGAAAACTTTAAGGATTCTTCACAAAAAGGAGTACATGGAGTCTTTATACGAGCTCCTGCTGTTTTATCAGTCAATAGCCCTGAAGTCAAAGTACTTGCAACAGTAAGCACCCCATCTAGTGAGAAGCCTGTCATTGTCGGTGTTGGACAAAGAAACTTGATAGCCACTGCATTCCATCCAGAATTGACTGAAGATCCTGGATGGCATGCCTATTTCTTGCGTAAAGTTTTAGCAGCAAAAATACATTCATGACTGATACTTGCAGAAACACTAATTGCATAACAATACYCCACGAAAAGGAATAATCATTAAAAAGATTAACTTTAAAGCTAAGATAWTTGAGTACATCAGTCTATTACATGTACCTATACCATTTACTTGTAATGCTTTCACTAAAGACCAGAAATTGTATTGGTTAAATTATTATGGGGATGGAAATTGAGGTTATAAGACTGGACAGTACAAGTGTAACATTTGACTTTATTTATCTTATTTMCATTTTTTATAATCTAGATTTAGAGTTACAGGTGTAAACACATTGTATTCTGACATTGTGTGATATAACTATATAGTGATTTATTTATTGTATCTGTTGGCCCAGGAGGTGGATTCCCTTATAAAAGGGAGCAGTGGTCCTCGTAGTCCCTTARAGGGTTTGAAATCTTGGTTTTGCTCCTACATAGGTGATAAGGACGTGAATTATCACAAACTGAGTTTTATGGTCCTTTTTTATCAATTTACATAGGTTGAGTGAGCATGCTCAATTTTTTCATTATTATTTATCCATGGAAATAAATTTTACTGTATAATTGTATTTTATGTTTTCTAAAAAAGCTGTTTATGTGGATATTGTCAAATTCACAGTTGACTATCTTTTCCAAAGCTAACAAGCTCACTGTTGAGTAACTTTCCAAAAACAGAATTGTAAGGATGTACAGCCTTCACAATACAGTTGTCGCAGTCAACAATGGGTCTGCCTTCATTTGCCCACTTGAATATTGATCCCTCAAGACTGAAAAGTTTGATCAAATCCCGCTCTTTGCTATATTCAGGCTTRGATAGTTCGTTCATTAAATTTTGTATTAGATTACWTGACCTGTATCCTACAGAACAATATGCTACCACTGTCTTGGGATCCTCTGCATTAGGAACTGAAAACATAAGAGACTTTTAAGATCATGTGATTTTTTTTGTACATTACTGAAAGTGMAAAACTGAGTGAATAAATGAATGAATAGTTGCATAAATTGTTTAATGGAGAGATCAGTARAAGATTAAAATAGTACAAATATAACATTACAATATTGTCTTTTCATGAAGACATGGGCATTTCATTGATATTTGCAGTTGTGGATTTTGAAGATTGTTAATTTGGTGCATATGGTTGGAAATGCAGATGGGGCACTGAGGGAGACATGGGGTTGTTTGGATTGGCAGATTCACACTCCTTACCTTGTTGATTGATCAGGGCAAGCACTTCAGACATATTCTTTGTGTTTGGATTTACTGAGTGAGCACCCTGTAAGTGACTTACATTGAATTCTGGTTTACTTCTAACATCCTAGGAAATTGAATCAAAACAATTTTAAATTTATCAGAAACAAAAAAGTTTTTTGGGAAGTATGGTCCTTTAAAGCATATATGTGCCCTGCTTCAAGCACTGCTCACGCTTGGTGCCTGTACACTGGGCCAAGGCCTCGACATTATTGTATACAACATTAGAATTTTTCCTGGTGCCTTGCCTGTGGCTGTTGTAAGCATGGGTGTTCAGGTTGTCAGCAACAAGTGTGAAAAACGCTTTGTTTTCTGTTGCTTAAATAAGGTAGTGGCTACTGCACTGAAAGGACCTTCAAGTGTGTTTATGAAACCGAGATCTGATTCAGAAAATGTAAGATTAAGTAAGTTATAAATCTTAAACAGCTGACAACAATGTTTTGTATTTAAGAAGACATGCTCCCTATCTATGACCTATTATTTCCTAGGCAAAATGCCCAGTCCTGGATTTTCTCTGGAACAGGGTTGAACAGGGTATCGTTTTCAGCGATTTTACTCTGGAACAGGTTATAGTTTTCAGCGATTTCAATCTGGAACAGGGCAAAAACAACGTCCATGCTTGACTGACTTCGGGAGAGAATTTAAGTTTACATTACAAATATACTTACTAGCAGAATAACTGMGGTTCMTTCTCTGTTGGAGGAGGCCGATAGTAAACTCTCAACTTCCTTCGTTTGAATTTGTTTGACTTGAGAAAATCTTGCTCTGATCATTTGCATGGTCATCTTCATGCCTTTGCCAATTTCACGTGATGAGGATGCCATAGCAAAACACAGTTTTGTTGTATCTCGTCTTTATGGAAAAGAAAAACGTCGAATAAATGGAGTACTGTAATTTCAGACAGAGAACCAAGAGAGTCGAAACATTCCGTCTTGAAGTCCGTAATATAATCGTGAGAATCGACGGGCTTACGAAGATGTTCGTGCCTTCTTCGTAGCTCAATGTTTATGGACGAAGAGAGAGAGACTGTTGACTGGGGCACGTTCACTTATGATGCACTGCAGCAATTTGCAGTCTGCTTTGATTGTTGTGCTGTTGTTCATWGGTGTTAAAGTATCCACTAAAGAGGACTTTTGCAGTGCAAAAGGTGACAGCTGTTCCAAGGACAAGAGTCAAACATCGTCCAACAACGACGAACATCCAGCAGAATCTCAAGAAGAGGAAACGATTTCAAGTACGGGAATGGAGTGGTTCTCGCATGGAGTAAACAACAACGACCTCGTAACTCAGCTGAGAAATGGCAGAATAATAAAATCAGATGGTGTTGAAGAAGCAATGAGAAAAGTAGATCGTGGAAATTATTGCACAAATCGACCGTATCAAGACTCTCCGCAGTACATCGGTTATGGAATAACTATAAGTGCACCTCACATGCATGCTCATGCATTAGAAATGTTGAAGGACGAACTTGTTGAAGGGGCAACTGTTTTGGATGTCGGATCAGGTGAAGCCTTATTGAATGAAGATTGGAAGTACAAGGTTATGTGCTTGCATGGATGAAGAATCAGTTTTCCCTCCAAAATGGGTGTAATATTTCACTTTTGCCTTTCCTCGTGTTGATTGGCTAATTAATTAGAGTGTACTAAAAATAGAACTACACCCACCACATATACATTTTATTTCAGTTTTGATTTTATTTGTTTTATGCAGGTAGTGGCTACTTAACAGCCGCAATGGCAATAATGGTTGGGAAAACTGGGAAGGTTGTAGGAATTGACCATATCCCAGAGCTTGTGGACTTATCCAGAGAAAATATAAAGAAAGGCAATGCAGACTTGCTTGAAGATAAAAGAGTGATCTTAGTTTTAGGTGATGGACGAGAAGGACATGCACAAGGTAAACTGCTCATTACTTTATGTTACCATGGTTATTGRTCATCATGGAGAAACACTGAATTTTAACTGAATCCTTTAGTCTTTTTTTGTAAAGCCTCACTACAGRTAAGTCTACAAACAGAAAAATGTGCTATCTTCTCTTCGTTGTCATTATTCATTCAAAATGATGCATATTCTATTCTATTAAAAATCTTAAATAGTCTCCTTCGCGGTTACTTGCACTATCTTGAAAGGTAGCTGTACCTTTGCATTGAAGCAAGACGACGAAACGGAGATGACCATTGAGCATGCAATGATAGAAGTCTTCTTTCACACCTAAAGACAATTATTCACAGTTGTCTATCATAGCACGCTGAATGGTTGTCTCTTTTCATTGTAAATGCACGGCCACATTTCACGATGGCACAGGTATAACCCTGACAGAGACTATTGTCACTGATATTTCATATGATTTCTAGAGGGCCCATATGATGCCATTCACGTCGGAGCTGCTGCACACCCTATTCCTGAGCCACTTTTACAACAACTCAAGCCAGGTGGACGTCTCTTCATTCCTGTAGGACCTCAACTTGGTGACCAATATCTTGAACAAATTGATAAAAACCATGATGGCACCATTACCAGGAAGAGGTTAATGGGTGTCCGTTATGTACCACTGACAAGCAAAGAGAAACAGCTGTCTAAATAATGACTGGAAAGACAAAATAGGAACTGGTTATACCATTTTCCACACCAGGGAATCATGCCATTGTAGACCTTGAGAAGAAACATTACCAAAAAAGAAAGTTTAAAATCAGTTTAGGAACTATTTCCTTCTTAAATGCCAGTAAATGTCAAGATCAAGATGTCAATTAGCTTTAATGCAAGCCAATTTCTGTTTTAAAAAAGGTTAAAAGGCACGTAGTTTCATATTTTGCAAACTCAAGGTATTACAGTGCAGCTACTGAAACCGGGGCCACCTASAGAATATAAAATTCCACAATTTAGATTGAAAACAAAGTCTTTTTTTAGCTTATTGTTTTCAATTGAAATTYTGATTATTTTACATTCTTTAGGTGGCCTTGGTTCCAGTAGCCACACTGTAAATGATAAATTAGAGACAAAGTTGAGACTGATTATGATATGAAGATTATTAATAAAAAATCATTATTAACCAGAATTTTGTCACCACTTGACAGTAAACTATGAGATTTGGAGCAAGTTTAGAATATACGGTGCTCACTCTAATAGAGTCACAGCTGTCCAAAGTACAGTTGGTCAGGACAAATAATTATTGTTCTTTTAATTCAAAGAAATAAAGTTTTATTTCAAACACAAAATGTTGAAAATATTCAATTTTCCATGGAAAGACTAACAGACAATAACACAACCACGTAGGGAAATATATTGTTTGGCTCAAACATTTATTTTACAGCATTATAAAACGAAAAGCAGTATAGTTACAAAAGGAGGTCTCTTGAAAAGCTACATTGATTCTGTGCTTGGTGAAAGGATTAAGAATCATCTGATCTGAGAAAAACAAATGACAAATGTCCACTATCGTCTCTGTACACAAGATTATTACTAGTCATCTTCTGGCTTAAAGTACTGCGTGGACCATGTTTTCCCATCTTTTCCAGCAACACGTACTAAACAGTGAAGACTATGCGCAAGGTTACTATCATCTGAATCTTTTTCCTTTTCTCTAATGGCATAGGCTTTGTTATACTCTGCTTCTAAAACGTCAATCTGAAAAAGGAAATTCAGTGATTAAATAAAGAAATAAAGAAATAAGACAAAGAAAAAAAAATACAAAGATACACTCCTAAAAAAAAATAAAAAGACACCAAATTGAAAAAAAAAAGAATTCTGAAAGATTATATCATCAAAGCTTAGAGTGAAAGGGAGCACAGAAAAGCAATTATTTTTTTGTTTTTCAGTGTCAAAAGGTCGTCGTCTGCTCTGAATAAAATGACCTTCTCAATGAGTAATGGTATAGTGRAACATACTTAGGCAAATATTGTTTGAATTTTGATGATATAAACTTTATGTGAGCCAACAATGTTAAATCCATRGGGTATATACAATGAATGAGAAGAAGAAGTAAATGGCAATGTAGAGACAACAGAAAAAGTCTTGGTTGTTAGTTTGGAATGAGGCCACATCCCTCCTGTCCTTATGTTAGCTCACTGGTAGAGCATACGTCTATCTAGCTAAAGAGCCATGGGTTTAATTTGTAAGTTATAATCATGATTTACCATGAAATGCATTTCTCAAAGTAATTCATGAAAGAGAACAATGAGAACAACATGGAATACTTATTTCAAGTTCGGTGCTCTACTCACTAAACCACAAGCGTCAAGAACTCAGGCAMTAATAATATTATACATGTTTAATTAATGTCACATTTTGAGTTGAATTAATTAGGCAACTGAGTTTACACATAAATAATGTGAAAAGAAAAGAAAAACAGAGACAATTTCTTGTATGCATCCCACATAGTACATCTCTCATAATTTGTCCAAATTAAGTTCACAAACTACATAAAAACTAACCTGGTATATTTCATCTCTTTCTTCAATTACGTCAAATTTAGTAATTTGTAGAACAGGTAGTTTCTTGCTTTCATAATGATTGAAAAATGCTTCAGTGATATCTCCTACTGTCTCACTCATTTCTTCTGAAAACCACATTTCAAGTTTTTGTGGTGTCGATTCTTCCTTTTTCTTGAGTACGTAACCAGGAACATCTAAAAGAATTGAATATTCCTCTGATTAAACAGTTCTGAGCAAAKTTTTATTATTTGATGTGCCAAATTACATGCTTCTACAGSGATGAAAATAACAATCAAATCAAGTTGAATACATCATCCCTCTCAACAAGAGAGTTCTCTCATCAGCTCAAAGCTTGTTGCTGCTTTGCAGGTTGATGTCTCCAATTTGCTGAGAAGGTTACTGAGAAAAGACATAAAGCCTCTGGAACTTGGTAATCATTAACATCACGGTAATAACACCTCATTTGGCCTTATTCTGTCAATGATCTTAGTGTTTTATTTTCCCATTTCTTTATTGCTACAGCCATTTTAGATGTTTTCATCAAAATATACCAAAAGGAATCATGGTTAAAGATTCACATTTTTTTTCAGAATGTACTTCCTCCAGTTAATGAAAAATTCCAGAGCCTCTTAAGGTTTAGCCTACGTGCAGGAGTTGTAAAGAAACGAATGGGAATGTGCAACAAGCCTGTTGGGATTACTGTGGACAATTGTATAGAGGACTGCTAGACAGGCTATGAGCCTCTCAGAATGCTGCCAAAATTTGTGATGATGMTGTGATCTTTACTGTGAAATCTTGCAAATTGAATTTTTCAAATCAACAGTGTTTCATATATTGGATTAATTAAGGTTGGCATGTCTTTTTGGAACTTTTGTACAAAACTTGTTTTGGGGAAGCTACAATTMTTTTTGGTCAGTAGACATAGCACCCTTGTATTATGTATCTAGTGACCAATTACTCTGTAGATTTCAACAAACATGAAATCTACAAGTTATTTTACGTGATTTTAATATCTGTTACCATGATTTYGTGGAATTCAAATTAACATTCGATCAAAGTTTGACAGTAAGAATTATTTATAAGTTTGCACGTGTTCAAAGTGGTCTGGAACACAATGAACACATGTTTGACAAAATGCTTTGCTTCTTCTTAAAGCTTCATTTAACTGATATTTCCTTAATTCTAGTAGGTAATGTTAGGAATGAGGTTGACTACATCCAGAGGCGTCACTGTYTATGACGGGAGCGAATGGTACTACAATTGTCAAATGACCAGTAATTCAAGTTTGCAAAACCAGTTGTTTGCCACGTTCCCATACAAACCACGAAGGTTTTGAAATTTCACAATAAAAACAAGTCRGTTAAAAACAAAAATATCATAAGCCAACAGGTATAAAACGRATCATGTTCAAACTGAACTCAAAATACTCTCAAATACCTGGGGTTGGTTCTTCGAGAACAGCTTCTACGCATTCAACTTTGATCGCATCTGCATCAACATCTTCGTCCTCCTCCTCCTCATCTTCATTCTCTCCGTCATCGTCGGCTCCATCTACACCATCTTTWGACTCATCACCCTCCTCTTCTTCGTCTTCTTCTTCTTCCTCGTTAAAATCCTCATCGTCGTCGTCTTCATCCTCTTCTGAATCTTCGTCTTCCTCTTCGTCGCTGTCTTTGTCTTGTACTACTTTGGCGCGCGCTTGAACGGCAGCTTTCCTTTTGCCCCGGACTCCGTTTTCAGCTTCAAGTGAGCCTTCTTCTTCTTCTTCGTCATCATCCTCATCACGCCTGCGTTTTCGGGGAGGCATTTTGATRTGTTTGAGGTCGAAAAAAGAGGAGAAGACGAAGGACTCGACAAACTATCAACAGRCGAATTTGATCAATGCAAACGGATTCCTGTACAAAAACTGGAACGAGGACCGAGCGACGCGGATCGGACTGCAGACTTTACAAAGCAAGACAAAAGGCACGTGTTGACACAAACCGGTTACTAAAAGAATTATCACTTAAATTATGCACAGGTTTTGTTGATTATTTTGACTAACAAAGAAAAAAACTGCAGTTTTATTCAATCAGAACCAGCTGCCAGAATTTGTGAAAGGAAATCTTTCCTGACCACACCCCTAAAAATCAAAGAAAGCAGACTTCTAACTTTTTTATAGACATACTTTTTTTGTTTAAAGTTTTGACCATAGCTGTAAAAAAATTAAATTTCTAATTCTGAGAGCCAGAGTACTTTCATTTTTCTTGGTTAATTTTGCTTGCTATATTTTTTAAAGGCTGAAATATAAACTCAACAGCTCAATAATGCATGAAAAAACAAGTAAGAAGTCATATTAGTGTCTTCTTTCCTAATTTTGACAAGTATATTAAGAGAAATGATGACTATTTCAAATGAGAAAGAACACAAACTGAACAAGTACATAAAAAACCTGTACACATGGTCATCATCCTGGTGCCCAGATCCTTCTCAGTTTCCCAATGGAAAATCAAAGACTCTGGTTGGGGAAGAATGAATCTTTGATTTGATTGCTTCAAAAAGTCCCAGACTCTGTGRCCTCCAAAATTCTTTCCAAACAGGTCCTTCAAGTTTGTTTGAAAACCGAAGACTATCTGGGTTCAAGAATGACATGATCCGTAAGAACAAAAATAAATTTACATGTATGTAGACTGCTTACAAGCATTCTCTCTCCCCTGGCAMCCCCCCTCAAGYCATACCAATAAGTATTAATTTCCAGTGGTTATTGAGGAACTGTACATTGATCTGTTAAAATGARTTTTAACTTGGAGATTGCATTAGCAATCAGAAATTTATTATGTGTTATTGCTTACTGATATTTGTTCGAACAGATTCCATTTTGTGATTATCATGTTCTATCTATTCATGTAAAAACATCATCAGCTAACCTGTGTTAAATGCATTGTTATAGCTCATGACTCAACCAGCACAAATTTCAATAAATTTAATAATTTATTTAATATAAATAACATAAGTTTCAATAATCTATATTGATAATAACATATAATCAATAATTAGTAAAACTGCTGGATTTTTGAAACCATTATATCTGCATGTATTCACATTCTATTGATTGCAAATGGCATATTGAATCATGCATGCATGTAATATTAAGAACATGTTAACATCCCTAATGATAAATTTTGTATTGCAGCGCACCACGTAAAAAGTGACCACTGTTAATGTATTTGCATACTTCTTTCTCACTATCGATCCAATTGTGTCTACATACTAGACCCCAGACAAGATAGCACAATCCTACAATGGTGATTGGTTAATATAAAAGCAAGACAAACGCTTGCAAATATATTATAAACAGAGGCTATACTATTACTGTTGCGCTGTAATTTTAGTATGATTCTATACAATTAAGTCAACAATTATTTACAACTTCATGTCAACAATTCTAATAGATACTGACAAACATATTTTGATGAAAATTGATGTGGTTTTGTGTAAATCTGTATAAAGAAAAGATATGATCAATTACATCAATTATCAACATATTTTTTTGGAGAGCTTTTCCAGGGACCAGCTGAACAAAGGATTCATAAATTTTTTTACCAAATAAAGGTCAATTGATGGATGACAATTAAACCCTAATTGGTGCAACTATAAAGTTTGTACAATTTCCAGATTGGGTTAATCGATGCAGCATATCCTTATAACATTTTGCTTTTGCTTTACCACTGCAGCCCACCAAAAGACAGAAACGTTATGACAGTATGGTTCAAGAATCATTATTACAAAGTTACTGAAACATTCAGCATAACAAAGAAGGGTGAAAAGAAAATAATAAAGTATAAAATAACATCATCTATCAAAAGCTTATAATTTACATAAATAATAAAAAAAGTACATTACCATAAATTTTACAAAGGTCTCAAACTGGCACAAATGAGAGSTAATTTTGAATGAAAAGTAACACTGCTACCGAAAGAAGTATTTTTAAAACTTAAAAAAAGTTGATCTAACCTTATAATTATGTATTATATACAAAATGGTTTTATTTATGTATGGTTGTCCACGTTATTTCAAAGTATCTCAAATAAATTACAGACAAATTAATTCTAAGAGCAAAATATTAAATACAAATCCAAGCTCTCACTCTCCCCTKAAGCAGGTGTGGATGCAGGATTTTTGGAAGGGAGGAATTCAGTTAAATGTGAACATTATGGGAATTAGGATGACTATATTATTTCATAAATTACATTTAGAATTATATGATGTTTTACATTTTAAGGAATTAAAATCCTGTCCCCTGTATCCACKCCAACCAGGCCCTCTKACAGGCCTGATACTAAGGTTACTTTCTCTTGACATACAAGTAACATTAGCTGGCTATAGATACACTATCAATAATTCTAATAATTTTGACAACTATTTTGCTAAGCGCTTTCAAATTTCACTGATAGCCAAACTATTATTTCAAAAAATTTCATAATTCACTTAAATGATGGAATGCTTTCAAAGTTGTAACCTCTTTCCCCTCTAGTGGCTCTGTATATGTAYATTATATGGTATCCTGAAATTAAAAATATATAAATTGGTTATATTTTCACATAGAGTGGATGTACCTAATTTGTGAAACAAATGTTACTAATCACTACTAAGTCTAAAAAGTGTTAATTAGACAATATAAATCAAAGGCATTACATAATTGTAATTATACAGCATAATGTAGTAGTATTTTGTAATATTTTTAAGTTTCACAGAGTCACCTTGTCAACTCTAGCTAACAACTAGTTCAGATATTTTGAAATTGAATATTCAGCCTAGGTGCTGAGATTGTTGAAGATCAGGGATGTCTGTGTAGAGACCACATCCACACTTTAAAATCCTAATTTGGTTAACCACAAGGATAGGTTTACACAGATTGTGTGAGTGAGTAGYCATTCTGTTAATGGAGCACTCTTTAGCCTTTTAAAGGCTTTTTAAAACTTCGCTTTGGGTAGTTTCATTTGGTTAATGCTGAGGTACTAACAGGGGGTTTTGGCCCTGAAATCCCTGACCTATTCCAGACCTTACATTCTAATTTGACTCCATGTCACAGATTTTGGTTGGTATTCAAAAAATGGACTTATAATCTTGTTATATCCAGCATAGTCAATGGTATCTGATCAGACCCATGACCACAAGATAATCCTACTGCCAGAGGCAATATGTTTACATATTATGATACCCTAGATACTATCTCAGTGCAAAAAACAATGCCAGTATGTTACAAACTAATAGGGGAGTGACTCAGCCACACTTCCCCATCCCACCCCACCCCAGTTCTTTCCTTTTCTCAGTTTTTATCTACAGATATTATGCAATACCTCCAGGGATGATACATATGGCTGCACATACYAAGAATATGATTGCTTTATGACCTAAAAAAGAAACACAATAAGATTATGAATTTTTGGTTTGGCCTGAMATGCTGAGATGACAGGTATTCATGCAGTGAATTTGCATTAGGTCRAGTCTAACMGCARGRGAAGCTGTTTGAAATTACTTGTGTCTATTCATGAATACTTTGTAGGCCATTTTGAYTTGAAACAATTACCACAGAACACATTCTATTATTTTTGCAATAACTTCTATCCTTTTGAGGTGCATTTTACTAAGTATTTCTTCATATTCTTAACAACTGCTCAACTCATTGTTGTAAAATTTTAGACAGACAAATTAAGTGGCCATTGCAGGGACAATGCAACAGTGTAGTTTAACAATATGAATCTATTTCTTCTTTTCTTGTTGTGCAAGTTTAGAAACAAGGTTCACTATACACCCTTTTAATAAGTCCCGAGGTATTGCATTCTCCACACATGACGTCAAATTTATTTTTTTGAATTCCTTTTGTATTGTAAAAATTTCAAGAATAAATTTGAAGTCAAGTGCGGAGAATTCAATGCCTCGGGACTTATTAAAAGGGTGTATAGCCCTTTAACTTTTGACATTCAACGAAATCTAAATACATTATCATAGTTACAATGACTATTGACAATGGACGCTTCTCCATAAATACCCATTCTGGACTCAAATTCTCATCCCTCTAAACATAATAATCCAGTTTTGAATTCTCCAATGCTCTGTGTTAGCCTCATTTGTGCGCAAAATATTCCTAATTGTGAGAATAAGAGCGTGAGATTTCAAATCAATTTTATTGTTTTTCTTTATAAATTCCATGCGTTTTCTCGGTCTATCAATAAAACAAAAGAATATGTAACTTGGTTTTGAGGCTAACACAGAGCAAACAAGAACTCGAAATTAGAGTATTACCTGTCCTAAACAAACTATACTACTGCGCTAACTGATCTAGGGACTGAGCAACAATTAATTAGGGACTGACCAACAAAAACTACTTTTCTCAGCTGTGGAAGACGTTTGTTAATAATGTTGATTAGAATTGTTTAAATCTTTGGTCGGGAATTTAGGAACAATTATGATTATATTATTTGCATTATTTTCCTATAACCTTTTCAATGATAACTAAAAGGTACTAACCACAGCCCTCTTGGGATGTATATGTCTTATATCATCCATTATCAACAATGAACTCAGATTACTTACTGTTTTCTTCATCTGCATCTTTTATTCCTGACAAAGCGATTCCAGCAATGAGAAAAACTGCAAACACACAAAATGTACAACAAATTAATATAACATATTTAGAAATCATGCTGGTAAATTCATTCACACACTCACAAATTTTACAAATAGATCTCTTTTTCAACATTACTAGAGATGATTTAATGTACTCTGAGATATGATTAAAAACACAATTGACATCTTGACACAGTTTAAGATGTTAAACAAATAAATTATGAATTATGTCATTGTAAACTAACTTTACCAAATCCAGCAAAGAACAGCAAAAATGCTGCAGCAACTGTTTTGTAGTTTTCTTTTACTCTTGGATGTCTCAACCAACTGGAACCCAGATACAAATTATTTATTAACTATGAACTAACTTTTTAAGGTAAAAAATAAATATCCAGTAAGCAATCATTGGTAGCTACAAAATCTTAAGTCATTAATCACTTACAATAAACCCTCTGTGTTGCTATTGATATTTTCTTCAGAGTCAAACTCTACTGATGCTGTAGTACTAAAAATACAAATTCACTATTTAATATTTTTTAAAATACAAAAAACAAGTACCACATAAATAAATCAAACAGTGGGTAAACCACAAATTGGTGAAATGATCAAGAATATTAAATCATGTATCAAGTTAATAATTGAGATTGTATCACATACATTGTGCTTTGACAAAATTAAAGAGACTAATGATAAAGGAATTTCTTTAAATTAATTAAAATGTCTTTTTATTGACTGAAAAAGTGTTGTTATCATGTTCAACTTGACTTATTATATAACATAGACATATTACTTACCTAAAACTTGCTGTTCTGTCTTCATGCAGCAAGGAATTTGAACTTTCATACTACAATTGATATTAAAATATATATTTCAAATTATTATTATCTAATTAATAATCTATTTTTTAAGCCAGGCTTTCACAAGTGATGCACTTGGATACTAGCATAGAAGCAAGCGCAAGAAGTTACACTCTTGTTGTGTTTCATTTTCACTAGCAAAATCAAGCCTCAGTACAAGAGCAAGCACAAGAAAAAAGAATAAATTTTCACATCATGCTCTTGCTTTATCACTGTGTTTGGGCAGTTTTTGCACCAAAATAAGGCCTCTTGAGCTTATACTTGCTTCTGTGATTGCTTATTTGGTGCTACTGAAAACCAGGTTTACAAATTATAACAGGATGTGCAAACTGCTAGTCACTTTTAATTTTTATTATTTAGGCCAACTCAATTCAGGCCAATTCTACTCAGACAGGTAAAATACAAATTCAATATATGTAGTGGCTATTACATGGCATTCAGAGACACAAATTTTATCTTTGAGTGTTGAAAAAACTCAGTCACATTCATGAGTGAGTTATATGCTATCAGTTGAGTTTTCTCTCGTTGTTGTTTTCCAGTTACCCTGGTCCCAGAGGTTTTCTTTTCTCTTCTTTTCTAGATGTTTTTTATCGTATTTTTGTCTTTGTTTTTAAATCGTTAAATATAAAAAACAAAGACAAAAATACGATAAAAAACATCTA